CCAACCATATATATATATATATATATATATATATATATATATATATATATATATATATATATATATATATATATATATATATACCGCAAAGAGCTCCGGGCAAGACTCCGTGCTAGCCTAAAGAGAGACCGCGAATCCTGGTGGTCCCATCGTGCGTCAGAGATGGAAGTGGCCACTTCCCTTGGCAATCATAGTAAGTTATTCAGTCTGATACGGAAAACGGGCAGCAGGAGACCTGGTGTTAGTGAAACTACACGTGACGAGAGTGGGCAGCCTATCCACAATTTGTCAAAACGTTTGGAGCATTGGGCTGAGCAATTTGCAAGGCAATTTAATCTGTCCGCATTGTTAGATTTCTCGCCGGCCACTGATGGCCCCGCTCCCTGGGCTGCCCTTTGGATCCACCATCTCGCTCAGAAGTCGAACGTGAGATCGGACTGTTGCAGTTGAATAAAGCCGCGGAACCAGATGATCTTCCTCCAGCCCTCTTCAAATTCGGGGGACCTGCTCTTGTTGATTCTATACACGAATTACTAGTGAAACTGTGGGAGCAGCGAACTGTCCCAACCGACTGGAGCCGCTCCGTTATTGTACCCATTTTCAATGGAGGCTCGCGTTCGGAATGCGACAACCATAAAGGAATCAGTCTTATCTCCATCGCCTCTATAATCCTTCACAGACTGACTGGCGCTCGTGAAAGCCATATTCGTGAACAGCAAGCCGGGTTTCGTCGAGGTCGTGGATACATCTTCACTTTGCGTTAATTGTTGGAGCACTGTCACACATATTGGCGGCCCACTGTAGTCGTGTTCCTCGACATCAAAGGTGCATTCGATTCGGTGGATAGACGTGCACTTTGGGACTGTCTACTCAGGAAAGGTGTGACCGAGAAATATGTAAATATTATCCGAGCATTATACGTGCGTAGCACGGGCAGAGTGAGGGCTTACGGCAAGCTGTCGCCACCCTTCCATATCTCCAGCGGTGTGAGACAAGGATGCCCGCTGTCACCTTTCCTCTTCAACTTCGCTATTGACGAAGATTGCATTTACAGGACATGACTTGGGAGGTGTGGAGCTAGTCCCAGGAGAACGACTTCTTGACTTGGAGTATGCAGACGACATTGCCCTCATCTGTGACAGCTCCAAGACGTGCCAAGCCGCGCTGGACAGATTAGCACTGGCTGTCAGCCGCTTCGGGCTTTGCTTTGCACCATGGAAATGCAAAGCGTTCCTCCAAAATTGGCAGCGATCACCTCCTGCGCTGGCCTTTGGTGGGGATTAGCTAGAAGTCGTTCGGAAATTCAACTACCTGGGAAGTTGTATCAGCGCCCTTGGGATCGAAGACGAGATGACGAACCGTATAGCGAAAGCTCGAAGTGCTTTTGCTAACCTTCGCCACCTATGGCGGCAGCGCGACATTACTCTCGCCCTGAGGGGTAGAGTGTACCATGCAGCGGTACGGTGGACCCTACTGTACGGTTGCGAAACCTGGCCCCTAAGATCGGCGGACATGAAGAGGCTGGTTACGTTCTACGATCGGTGTCTTCGCAGTTTGGCTCACATATGGTGGGAACACCCGCGTGAGTAACGAGCGTGTTCGACGCCTTGTGTACGGCACAGGAAAAGGAACTGAACCGCTCAGCACTGTTATTTTACGCACCAGGCTCCGATGGCTGGGTCACGTATGGCGCATGCCAGCCCACCGACTCCCGCGACGTACGTTTGCTCACCGGGGATGTGGATGGAAGAAGAGGAGGGGCGGCCAATCGATGACTTGGTCCAGACGAATGAAGGCCCTCACTTTGGAGCTGGCCTCGGTTGGAGCGTCACAACTCCCTGGTTGGGGTCCAAAAGACGGTGTACACGTTTGGCTGGATACACTTGCTAACCTGGCAAGGAGCCGACCTCAATGGCGTCCTTCCTGTGAGTTTGTTTGTCCCTTCCCATCCCTTTTAGCCTCCTCCTCCACTTACGATCTCATTTCATAGTGTAAAACATAATAGTTTTTTTCTTTTTTCCTAGTAGCCGGCTGTTAACTTACCGGAGCAATGCCTATCCGTTGCTGGTAGCTCAGCTGGCATGCAACTGTTGTATTTATTTTCCTTTATTCTTCTATGTATTGCGGCACAGCAGCTGAGGTGTTTCCCACCTCTAGCTGACGTGTATAATGATGATGATGAAACCGGCTGCAGTCGCTTTAGCTTCACTAGAAACACCTCGGTGGTATGTGACTCCTTGGTTCGTCAGGGAAGTCAAATTGAGCTCAGTGTTTGCAACCTAGTTACGAAAATGCGACATTTATCAGCAGCGAGCGAGTCCAGAGTGTGCGCTAGACCGGCTTGTTTTCCCATCTGCATGAGAGTTCAAAGATGGAGCGTTGTTAGCCGAAACGAGAATCAGGATCAAATACTATCCTCAAGCCGGACTTCGTGGGTGGCATCGAGACTAGTGTAGGGATTTAATTGTGAGTAACAATGATTAATAACGGATAAATGATTGGCGTGTGATAGAACTGTGATAGACGTCGGAGAGGGAAACAAGAGCGTGCGATGAAGTAGTAGTGTGATCCATGGTTTCTGCAGCGGGCCCGGTACTACCCGGTTGCACCGGCCTAGGTATGGTGTTATCTTAGGGAGCTCCACCCCGAGCCTTTAACTCGATAACCCACCCGCAAGACAGTGGGGCGAATTCAGGGAATATCGCCCATTCGGAGCCGGTGACCGAAGTCTCGGTTCATACGTCTCGTTTGGTAAGGCACCAAACATGGGCCCAATCCTCCCTGTAATTTCAAGACAAGACTGTTGGAATACAATGCTCCACCAGGGTAAAGCAAGGGGCATTGACTTTATTTAGTGGTGAGTCACATCCGTCATGCCGCAGTGTTATCAAACGGGCATGTGTGGCTTTTTTAGGGAAAGTGCTTGCTAGGCGAAAACCCACCACTTCCTGGAACACTGCCGCTGAACTATCTGCTGGAACAGTATAAACTCTAATCTTCCAGCTGACAACACGGAGAGATTTCTCGGCTAGCAAGCCTTGTTCGGAAGAAGGAAAAGTGTGGATTCCTTTTTCTAAGTGTACGCTATCTTGCTTACCAGTTGTCGGTAGAAGGATTACTTAACTCTTCGGCACCAAAAGTAGTAACTGAATTGCGCGGTCATTCTTCTTGCGTGGAAATCATTGAGTTTATCATGTTCAAGCCATATATGGTTGGCGGCATCCGGTTTCGGATTTGCCTGTCACTGTGGCCAGCCACAGGACGCTTGCGCCTACAGAGGGACCATGGATGGCTTGCGCTGCACCACCCACAGCTCCAACCACACACCCCATATCTAGTGTAAATCCGAAGAAATAAGACTGCGAGGCATGCGGATGGGATCCATGTTTCATCAACGGTGCCGTCCCACACTCCTTCACAGGCAAACACAAGCACGCTGTATTTGGGGAATCAAATGCACACAATGCGGTGGCTGGACCGTAGTCCGCTCCACACTGAGTGCATGGAACCACTCTTCGAGCCTAGCGCGACCACAAGGATGGTGCACCCCGTCCCCTCCAGCAACGACCAGCTGTCTCCTGGAGCCGACATGGACGAGGTAGTGGGTAATAGACAGGTAGGCACTTTGTCAACATGCACATCAAGCGCAGCCACACCTGGAATGTCAAACAACAGGCAATCACTTGAAATGACATTAACAAATAAAAGATATCGGTTAAAGCATACGGCTGTGCAGACAACTCTTCACAAAATAAACATATAAAATAAGTTGGTTAGCAACAAATCCGCAGCAAGTACAAAATGTCCACAAGTTAATCAAAAAATGCTACAAACGCGACAAAGTTAACGAAGATAACCGCAATTTGCGTAAGCAATGAGTGCCATTTAATAGGAGATTATTCAGGTAGGCAGAACAAATCAAATAAAGTGGAATGTAATCTATCCAGCTTAGAAAGACCTAGTTTAAGTTGCTTTAGCTCACGCATGTCCGTCCTGTTCTCAGTAAATACCCATTTTTGTACGTATGCCTCAGTTTCGTCCGTACCATTACAGCTTACTGGTTTCAAAGCAATATACAGCTTCCCACTCTTTGCCACTTGCTTTTCTGTTTCATCATTGGATGTGCAACCTACCAATCTTTGCTTTGTGGCTCGCATTCGGTTGCACCTGGTGTGTTTTGTGATGGGAGTAGCTTTCCGGAATGAACTTTTTGGATCATGGAAATGAGCCAGGCATTCAGTCAGTCCGGAACTGAAGAAATATGTCATACTCACCGGTATTAACCAATGGCTGCAATTGTTCGTCTGGTTAATCGATAGCTTTCGGCTATCTTACTAAGAATTTCATGACTTTTTTAGTTTCGCAACACGCAATTTCATTTTATGACATTGATGTCGTTATTCTTTTAACTTAGCGCATTATGGTCGTTATTTTTTTTACGTGGCTCACCGGTCTCTACTTGTGCCTTCTGTGGTTTGTTACAATTGTTTGTTGACTCGCGTTTGCTGCCTAAACCGTTATGCATTTTGCTACCGCCTTTTGTCATTTGTCACCACGTGAGATTTCAATATTATTGCTCATCTTCGTTTACGTCTCTCCCAGATGACACTATGTGCAGTCATTTGAATGGAAGTCTGATGTACAATCAGATTGCTCAACTCGGAGAGCCACGAAATTTCTTAACCTAGTGGTCAAGTCTCCGGATTATCTCTCTGACTTGTTAACTCTACTTGTTGGTTGGGAATTTGTGTACCTCGGAGTGTGAAGGAAGATGTTAATTTATTCTCTGAGCTGCGTAGTTTGTCTGCAGATACTTAGTCACTAGACTAGTCAACACAATCCGCTTACCTTCCAGTGTCGTCACTACACCTTTTCCTTTTTATATGCTACAGGAACACTTTGAGGTCCTTTCTCTAGCCTTGCTTCTCCACTAATTGATTATTCTTCATTTAGTTTCTCATATTTTCGCAGAATGTCCAACGTCCTCACTTGTTTTCCAGACCCGGGTTCGCTCGCATTTCCCTACCGTTTTTCATACCAGACGAGGAAGCCGATTACATTTTGGATGCTCTGAAGTTCATCGCTACCTACGGTTGGATTTTTCTTCCTCTGTACCGGTATAATTGCAGCACTGGTGAATGGATGCACTATCAAAATGAGCCGGATGAGAACCGTAGGCGGCTTAGTGATATGCGTTATACTGAGGGCAAAATGACTTGGCCTTCAGTTCCACTAAGAAGCGATGCTCCAGCTCCTAGTGACTTCCAAGTGAGTAGCCCACAAGTTCAATATTAAAATTTTTTGGATATCTGTTTGTACTTATCTCTTCGATCCGAAAAAGCTTTGTTACGGTGCTCCATTTCACTTGTCCGTTTAATAGTGGGCTGATTATTGTCCACTCATTTGTCCCCAGAAAGTTGACCACCGACCTTCATTGCACTGATGGTTTTGCTGTGCTTCCTTTCATCTACCACGCTTTCGCCACGTTTATGACTAGGTAAGAGCCAGCATATCGCCTGAAGCAGCCCGTTGCGAGCAACTTCGCTTGTTCGTCACCACAAGCCAACTGAAACCCCCTCCAGGTTTCAGACTAGCCTTCTTGTTCGTTCCGTACCAGCACACTGTCACACAATCTCATCATAGCAGAGTACCAGTTTCACCTGGCACATATTGTTTACATGTGTTGTGCCCCACGGCCACTGAAATTTCAGTATAAGCCCCAAACTTGTGCAAATCAAAAGGAATGAAAGATGGAGGAATGAAGATATCCTCTGTTCCGGATCAATGACTGGCCAAGCCATGGGAAGCTCGGGATATTCTTCGTCATGAAAAGTCAAATTTGGCCAATTAGTGGTCTTTCAATTTTGTGCTTTTTCACGCACCTGTCTCTATTACTCCGAATCCGCAGCTGCACCACGTTCACTACTCCAAATTATTACAGTCTAACTTTTTGACTCCTCACCCTGAGTGAGTACGAATTACAGGTGAAGCGAAGTACTCGCGTTGCAAATAAAAACGGTCAAAAAGAAGGCGGCCTATGCGAGTCACGTTTATGGACCAAGCCAGCTCGAGCTTGATGCTGTCCCGTCTGAGTAAACCAAAATGTTCTAATGTGCATGCAGGTCAAGCTTAGAATCCGACAGACTGATAAAACCTCAATTCTGCTCTCTTTGTGTCAAAGAGGCGTGCCGATTGTAGGGGATCAAATATCCGAAGTGTACCTTTTCGGCTGATTACCAAGATCCTTCAAATCCGGACGAGCAACTTGCGCATGCTTTAGGCGCACCCGGCGTTTCCTGACACGGTCCCTATCTAGCTTTTACCGACTGTTTCACGAACAAGCGTGAGGAGTTGTGTTGCTTCGTTTTCAGACGAACTAAGGTTCACAGCAACCCGACTGTATTTTGTGGCTACTTGCTTAAGGAATCCAATACCTTGGCTACTCATGCTATTACAGGAATAGCCTATCGAATATCCGCATCAGTGTCTTTTTCTACATGCGGCTTCCTCTGTGTGGGTGACTTGTGCGCAGCCGTAGTACTCAATCCATTTCGAGCACAGAGTGCATCTCGTGGCTGGTCTAGCTGCACCTATACCGAAACAACATGATTTATATTACCTCCTGGGATGTCCCAGCTTTCTTCGCTTACTCTGCTCCCAACTTCACCTTCTCTAGGAACGATGATGCGGTAAAGTGGAGCAGCAAAGCACATCGACCACACTGCTCTTAGTTTCGTCCTTCTGATGGGCTACGAACAGGTGTATGATATTCAGATTCTGTGGCCACTGATCCCGGTGGTCACTGAACAATAACAGCTAATGTGAGGCCGTCACCACCACCTTCCATATGATACAGTCAGCCTACAACTACTAGACATCTGAGTTTGTCGAGCTATCTGGAGCCGACATTCAATCGGATTTCTCTATGCTGCAAGCTGCACTTGTCCACGCTTGTTGGTTGTTTACAAAAAAAGTAAATTCTAAGTGTTGTGAATTACTTCCTTGCATCACTTCACTTCATGCCTGGTTTCATACTTAATTGCACTCGCTAAGTATATACCTTTTTATTCTAGATTAGACGTTTTTCAAACCAAATTGAACACATTGCCTTCTGAACAGAAAATCAGCATTTTGTTATCAACAAATGGGGTGTAAGGCGTTTTGAGGATTTCTAGATCCCATTGGAGTCATGCTAGTACAACCGAAGTGTGTAAACAGCGGGCGATTGTGCAATCCCTTCTCTTGGGCCTGGATGTCGTTCACCTCGATTACAGGCGGTGGCGCAGTTTTCCTCTGTCTCTCTATAGGACTTCGCATGTTTTGTCTTGGTATGTAGCTACATGACGATTGAAACAGTGTATGCTGTTATGACTCCACCAAATCCAGCCTCACTTTATTAGCCTTGTGCAGCACGACACAACCAAAATGTGCGACGAACGACAAGAGAAAACATCTTCGAGGCAGTGACGGTACAAGAGAACGTCATTGCTGCAGCAAGAAATCAGTACGAAGCTTTTGTTCGTCGACTACTAAACCACTCACAAAGCTGCTGAAGTCACAAATGTCATTGAGATCCGCGAGAAACATCAACAATGCATACGTACGGGAAGGTTCAAATACTCAGCGCAACTGTGGAGCAAACAACGTGGGAATCTCACCTCCGATGTGCTACGGTGTCTTGAAGAGCGTTTAACGGCACTCCGAGGACACTTTAATGTCGCTGCTGCAACAGCTGAAGAAGAACGGAGTCCGCCTTTCCGTGTCTACGTTCTTCGATGTCTTCAGAAGGCCAGATATTACGCTCAATAAATGCTACTACAAGCTAGATGCCGTCAACATTACTACTACAATCTCTCAAGCCTGTAGGTCTATGTTCTCCACTTCTCGGTACACGGCCTACTTGCTAACCCCGACAGTTTGGTTTGAAATTGCCCACTTAAAAGTGAAAATGTTGTGTTGACAAGAGAGAAAGCAGCGTCGTTAGAAATGGTCAGTTGATGAAGAGCTGTGCTGCTGCTACCATTTTAGCTTCAGCATCATATTGAAGACGCAGTTCAGTTTATGTAGTCCTGCATGGTTTCCAACGCCCTTTTGAATGACCACATGCATGCAAATGCATAGATTCTCCCACATACTCATACGAAACACGCGAGACAGGGGAAAACTGAGTCATCGCCTTTAATCGAGGTGAACGACAGCCATGCGCAATCGTATGCTGCCTACACACTTCGGTTGCATTAACTTGACCACAGTGTGGTCTAAACATCGTCTACTCACCTTACTTCTCATTTCTTGAGAATAAATTACTTATTTTCTCTTTTGAATGCAATGTGTTCAATTTGGTTTGCGAAACTTCCAATTTTAAGTGAAAATAGTAATGATATCAGGATTGCGACTGGAATCCAGAATGTTGGGAAATTACCCGAAATCCATACCTCTAGGCCACCGCGTTGCGGCAGGCAACGCATTACAGTTAATAATTTTTTGGCGGAGCCATTTTGTGAAGCATTGTTGTGTGAATGGATCGCGATGCGTAATCTCAATCTAGACCGCGATTCACATTGAAGTGCACCTTAATGACCTAATTAGCCTAGGTTCGTTTCAATGTGCAGATTGAGGCTGCGCGTTGCGGTCACCATTGGGCGCGATTCCCTGATTTCGCTCCTCTGCCTTGCAGGCAGGCTATTCATACAAAGTACGGGATGGTGTCCTAACGACTCCCTGATTCAACATAGGCAACCTTGTATTATCATGCTCTCTGAAGAAATCATGGATTTCTCAGTGTTATGTTCGGTTTCCCAATTTACTACTGTACTCTCCTTCGATTTACATGATTTTTGATGACTCCATGTCTACTCGTCAGAGCCCTTGTTACGCCGAAACGAAATCAGAAACCACTGCTGCGTAGTAAGACTGTTGTTCACGCAAACGGTAAGCGCAACTGTACACCAAAAAGAGGTCGCAAGACATTCGTATGTTACGTGACTCACATGGACGCTGCATCCAATCACCAATCCTTGGCTATGGCAGACGACCAATAACCGGAGTACACACACACACACGCATGCGCGCAGGCGCCGAGCGCTTGGCACAGTGTCTCACCCTTTCCCTCTGTGGTTTGAGATCTCCGGCCTGGAATCGATACACTTGCCGGCGTTGGTGCGTAGGGCGACGTATGGGCGTTTGGTGCGGTGATTCAAGTTCAGACACTTGTGAATCGATCAGCTCTGGTGTCTGCACTTTCGACTCACAGGTTGTTTCTGACACCGAAGGTCTCGGTCGCACGTAGTCTAAGTGGCGTCTGACAATGCTGCCATCTGTTGTGATGCGCTACCCTGGGCCTATCCTGATTGTTTGAACTTCGCTCTGTGCTGATTGATCGATTGGCCGACTTTAAAGTTGAGTCCCGTTTCGTTCTGAGCGGTTGTACATTCTACGTACTTCTTTAGCTATACTTCTGCTACATCTGCATTCTTCTGATACAACATTTGACATTTCGAATTCAATGATGGACGTTCCCATTCAACCCCATCTCCATTTTTGGAGTGACTGCAGTAACGGGCCAACATCATATGCCTGGTTCCGGTGGGAAACCTCCTACCGAAACTACTTGGATTTAATCAGCGATTTCCATGCTGCTGTTAGTGAGGAATACAGATTGAAGCTGTTTCGACATTTACTCGGGGATGAAAGTCAGCTACAGTTTCATGATTTGGGCCTTTAAAGATGTAAATTCGTTAAAGCAGGTTTCAATGCTCTCGATGGTACATGGGGTTACCAAATGAATGTATGTACTGCAAGATACGTTTCCTCTCGTATGCATCAGGAAACAGGTAAACTCTTGAACGATTTCATTGCCCGGTTAACTCGCGCAGTACGACCGTGTGGTTATTCGTCAATTCCCCAGAAAATGTTCAAAGGTTGTATGCTGACTCAGCAGCTGATTTCTAGAATCGCTGATAATCGTATACGTGAGGCGCTGGTGCAGGAAGAGGAGTGCACCTTAACGTGGGATGGAGGTTGCGAGTTAGCCAGAATGAAAACTGAAATTTCACTGTAATCAAAACAGTTCTGTTCGACCAACTCAGCTGAGTTGGCATACGTGCAGTCCTTCCGAAAATCACCAGAGGGCAAGCCATCTGGCTATCGCTGTGGTATTTGTCATAAAGCTAATTTCGCCACTTGTCCCGCCCGCAGCCCTAAGTGCAAAACCTATGACAAGATTGGGCACTACGCCCGATGTTATCGGTCGCAAGCCAACAACGATG